AATAAACTAAATAATATTGTTAAAATCATAAAATAATATTTAAATTGTGCATCGCACGAGTCTAATTCAGTACACTTTTAAAGTATTAAACAAGGCGTGTTAGATGATAGACGACAATACTTCTAAGAGACATTTTAGTAATGTTTTTCAATGAAATTCCGGAGTAATGAGTGAATCAATGACAATTGTTTGAATGTATTCTTGGTGTCTAGCGCTTTGCGATTTGTTGAATTTTTTATTTTTATTTTTTAATAAGCAGCTAAAATAATCTATTGTAAGTCAGTAGGATTAATAAGCAGCTAAAATAATCTATTGTAAGTCAATAGGATTCAATAATAATTGATCAAAAAATTATAATAAAAGAGCAATCCCATATATATAATTACAATGCAAGGATGTCACAATAAGACAAACATAACTTTTACTATTCTAGCAAAGCAAAATAACAAACAATTTTTTACAGTGATATGTTAAAAATTATGCAAAGTAGATTAGATTATCAATCCAATTCACCGATCAAAATTCACAGAAAAAGGAAGAGCGTAAAAAATGTTGCAAAAGTTGTGATGCCACTTGTTTTTTTCCCTCAAATTATGACGATTAGGTTTAGGCTTATAAAGAAAATTTAGAGTACTAGCGTTACCGTACAATGTTCGTGTCAATGACTGTTTATGCATCATAATCATAATTATAAGAGGGATCTTTTGTTGTTTTTAACACGGTAGTGTACATATAAGTATATAACACTTCAAGTGAGAGATGAATTGAAAATGATGGCCCTCAGATCATTTATTGCGATTCAATATTTAAATTTTAATAAACGCAGTGGGTTAATAAATGTGTTGATTATAAATTTTAGTTGGTTAAAGTTCAGGTTGAGATTTGTTACATCTTTAATGTTAGAGGATAGATCAGTGATAGGGGGTCATCGACTCGTGTTAACATTGATATGTAGTTTCGAGCCGAGAGGAATAGAAAAGATGGAATAATTATACGATTTTTGAATATGGAGTAGTAATCCTTTACAAAGCTGTATGATAATAAGTTAAAAGAGGTTAATTTAAAACTACGCCTAAAGTTCTTGTGATTAAATTTGATCATGAACATTATATCTGCTTCATTGTATCAACTTTCCACTGTGATAAAATTTGAGTCACGGATGACACAATAACAATAAAAGGATTTGTATTTTGGCCTGGTGAGAGAAACGTGAAGGGCTTGCTCATCTGCTTAAGGATCCATCCACGGCCAGTTCCACAATATGTACATGTTATTTGAAAAAGAAAAAAAATGGTACTCGTATAATATAAAGGTGTTGTTGCTTTTTATGAAATATCTAATCTAATGATAGATCAGTTCAAATTTTGATACTCCGTAATTTTGAATCGCAACTCTTCAAAACCTCTATCCTTGAAAACTATGCGCCTACACTTCCTTTAAAACTGTTTTTGAGGTCATGTACATTAGCATGGATACGAGTATACGACCTAGTACCGTATCAAATAAAATTTATGAAACCTCAACTTCGTACGGAGTATATATATTAGATTTGGAATACTTTTCTCAATTGTATACCAACGCCTTTACTCCATATTATATTACTCGAGCAACGCATGTGGTTCAAGTGTGGCATGTACATTTCGATGCTAGTACAGTGTACAAATGTATAATACCTCATATAAATGGAACAATTTGCGGTTGTATATATACAAAGATGTTAGATTTCGGGAAAACTCCTTAAATCTGGAGTGTGTACCATTGCGGAAGCTAGATCGAAAAAACCTAAGGCTGTGATACCATGTTAGATTTCGGGAAAACTCCTCAAATCTGGAGTGTGTACCATTGATCAATATATATAGAGTTTACAAAATATCGTCAACCTAGTACAATAAGGATACAAAATATATACAATATTATCCTACTCTGCGACAAATATTTTCATGACTGTTAATATCTATCAAAAGATAACAATTTTATTCTTATCTACACAAATATATGCTAATAAATTTTAGCCTGATGAATATTGTACATTGATGAGGACCAAGCAAAATCTTATATTTGGCCGATGATATGTCTTAGACATACAATAATAGGGAGTACATACATATGAAGCATTGATTACGGGCCTGTTCGTATTTACTTAATTTCAGTTCAGTTCAGTTCAGTTCAGCTCCAATCAGTTCAGTTCAGTTCAGCTCCAATCAGTTCAGTTCAGTTCAGCTCCTAATTTCCCTCTCTCATTAAATGTTCATTTCAGCTCAATTCAGTTCAGTTCAGCTCCAATCAGTTCAGTTCAGTTCAGTTCAGCTCCAATCAGTTCAGTTCAATTTAGTTCAGTAAATGTGAACAGGCCCTACGTAATAATTGCAATTGAATTATAAGATGAATAATTTGTTAATACTACTTGTGTTCAAGTGGATGAAATCTCACGTAATGCTACATTTACATTTACTAGTTGAGCCATCGCGATTAGCCCAATAAACACGAATGGAGTGTAGTTATTTTTAATTTATAATAGATGTGTTAATAATTCGATTTATTTGCTTAGGTTGGGTTTTGGGTTTAGCTTTGGGAATTGATGTTAAATTTTTTATATGCGCGATAACCCAATAAAGTAGAACTAAGTGTTGATAATTTGTAGTATAAGCAAATGTGTAATAGTAATTGCTATAGTTATTGTTAGAAATTATTGCTATTGTGAAAAAAAAAGGTGTTTTGTAATTAGCAAAAGTATATAGAGAAAATACAAAAGGAACTTTCAAAGTTTAATACTTCGTATGAATATATCTAGCCAAATGAAACTACAAGTAGTAAAGTTTGAAAAAGTGGTATTCTTTTTTTAACACAACATAGAAGATATATTAATCAAAAGAATATCCTTACATCGAGAATATTACAAGAAAATTGGATGAAGGTATTCACATGATTACTTTCAATAACCAGTACCCAACAGTTCAAAGATAAAAACAAGAGATAATTATACAATAATAAAGAGCAAATCCCTTCATGACTAGCAGTAGTTGAACATCTAAGCTGGAGGAAACATGAAAGATCAATCAACAGTAGCAGGATTGCCCATCTCCCTTTCATAGAGATCCCTCACACACTCCGGAACAGTGTAATAAGTTCTATGGCCAATGCCCATATTATTTCCAACCTCTTCCAGCTTATGAGCAATGACATTGAGGTCTCTTCGAACATGTTTAATTTCCACCACCTTTAGCTTACGAATGCTATTAGCAATATCATTGATAGTAGTCGAAAGAGGATGATGGATGATAGGGTCTAAAGTGTCAAACATCACTTTAATGGAGATAGAATCAGTGAACAACTTCATTCCTAATCACACCACCACCCGCAACAACATTGATCATTCTCCAAGATCCAACAGTGTGGATCCTCTTGAAACCAGGAGGAGGAGGAACCCAATGCTGCTGTAAAGGGACAGCAGGACATGAGCTTCTCAAAGTCAAAGCACAGACAACATCAGTGGCGCTACTCTTCCCAACAGCAGGATCAGAGACAGTAGCAGCAGAATGGGAATAACCAGAGCTACCCTCTGTCAGAGCAGCAGAGATGATTGCAGTCCCAAGGCTTGAAGCAGAAGCTAAGCCCTTTCCCTTATCCTGCAAAATCAAGTTAGTGCAGTGATAATCATTGTAGAATCTAGCAAAAATGGCATGAGCATGGAACATCTTTTTCTCAAAAACAGTAATGTTCCTGTTCCTCCATAAATGCCAAAAAGCTACAACAAAAACCATTTTCCAATGGGAATCAAAGCCAAGGTTATAGTTTAACCAATCAATCCAATCTAAATTCATAAAATCAATAAAACTAAAACCACAAGGAATTTTAATTTTATCAAAGATGTCATTCCAAAGGATATGAGAAGAAAAACAATCACGAAAAAGATGAATATGAGACTCCTAAAACATGCCACACCTAGCACAACTCGAGCTAACCAAGGCTAAGAAGAGAGTAATTTAATTTTTGAGCAACGGGAAGAATAGAATGCAAGCAATTCCACAAAAGCATCTTGTATTTTGCAGGAGCTTGAATTTTCCAAACACTTTTCCATGAGTTACAGAAAGAAGAAGCACAACACTTATCCTTAATTAAATGATGGTAAGCAGTTTTAATGCTAAAAACTCCATTATTAGACAAAGACCAAGTTATGAAATCATCCATATCACCATATTTAGAGCAAGGAGTAGCAAGAATTAAATCAATCAAAAACTGAGGAAGAATGAGCATAATATCATCAAGAAACCAACTACCATTTCTAATAATATCACAAACAAACCAATGGGCTTTGGCATTGGGAACATCTCTATCTAAATAAAGATAAATAGGTTTGTCACCAACCCAATGATGGTACCAAAGAGACGTAGTTTTACCATTGCCTATGCCAACTTTGAGCCCCGAGGCAAGAAGATGTCTTCCTTTTAAAATATCTCTCCAAATCGGGGATTGGGAATTATTAGGAATACAATAAAAAAAAGCAGAATTCCTAAGATATTTATCATTAAAAATTCTAACCCAAAGTTTATCATGTCTATTTAGCAAAGTCCATCCCAATTTTGCCATGAAAGCCATATTCCAATCCTTAAGTCTTCTAATTCCTAACCCACCAATCTCCATAGGCTTAGTGACATGTCCCCATCTAATCCTAGGAGAGTAATGAATTTTATCGACTTTGTTCCACAAAAATTTCCTACATTGCTTATCTATAGAATTAATAACTGAGGTTGGAAGCAAATTAGTTTGCATATGATAGACAGGAAACGAGTTCAAAACTGATTTGACCAAAGTAGCTCTACCAGCAAGATTTAACAATTTACACTGCCAACCCCTTATTCTATTCATAGTCTTGTCAAGAAGAGAAAGGTATTGCGCTCCCTTAAGTCTATTAGGGTTGATCTCGATGCCTAAATACTTGCCAAAGGAAGTAGAGGATTTTAAATTGAATTGCTCACTAAGACTAGTCCTAATCAAATGATTCATCTTGGGGCCGGGGAACAAATAAGAGAAGACTTAGCAAGATTAATTCGAAGTCCAGAGAGATCCCCAAACCTATTTAAAATATCCATCATCTCCTTAATGTTATTAGAAGAAGCATGGCAAAAAAGAAACACATCATCGGCATAAAAAATGTGAGAGATGCTAATGTTTTTAGAGATTTTAATAGATTTCCACCTTTTCTCATTAACACTAGCCTCAATCATGTTAGAAAGCCTTTCAAGACATAGAACAAAGATATAAGAAGACATAGGATCGCCTTGTCTAATTCCCCGAGAAGGAACAAATTCCTTAGTGATTTCTCCATTCCAGAGAACCGAGATTCTTGGAGTGGAAATACAGGACATAATAAGAGTTATGATTGACGAGGGAAAATTAAAAGCAATAAGAGTATTCTCAATAAAACTCCATTCAAGACTGTCATAAACTTTAGAAAGGTCCAGCTTCAAGGCAGTAATGTTTTTTCCTTTTTTTGCTTTATTAAAAATATGAGCTATCTCCTTAATAACAATAACATTGTCTTCTATGCCACGTCCCTTAATAAAACTGGATTGTAACGGATTGATAAGCTTGTTAAGGAAAGGCTTTAATTTATCTGAAATGAGCTTGGTAATCAATTTATAAATAGTGTTGCAAAGCCCAATTGGTCTAACCTCAAAAAAATGGGAAGGAGCATCCACCTTAGGAATAAGCGATGTAAAGGACCGATTAATACTCGAGGGGATACAGCCATCAGAAAAAACAAGATTTAACAAATTCAAAGATTATATCTCCCAAACCATCCCAAAAATGTTGATAAAATTTTGGTTGGATACCATCTGGCCCCGGACACTTCATAGGATCCATACGAAAGAGAACTTCTTTAATTTCCTCAATTGAAGGAATTTTGCTAATCCTAGAAGCCTCACTGCTAGAAATCCGAAAATAAGGGTTGAAAGAGATTTTAACAATGTTATCATTCAATTTGGAAGAAATTTTGTCCTTAAAAAACTCTGAGGCCATATCTTTTAAAATAAGATCATCATTCACCTAATTTCCACAATTATCTTGTAAAGCAAAAATTTTACCTTTAGTTTTTTTTATTTTAGCAATAGTATGGAAATATTTAGTGTTATGATCACTATACTTGCGTCAATTAAAACCCGATTTTTGCGCCCAGATTATTCTCTCCTTCCTGTAAATAGAATCCAAATCTTGAAGCAAATTTTTCTCTAATTTAACAAGGAAATGAGAATAATTTTTAGCCAAAGAAATTTGTATACCATCCAACCTAGCCAAAATTCTTTTCTTTTTAACAGTCAGACTACCAAAAATATTATGATTCCAAGAATTAATATTTCTACCAAAATTATCAATTCCTTTAAGCAAAGAGTTATTCGGCTATTTCCAATTACTAAGGAAAAAATTGCTAAAGTCAGGATGTTCTAGCCAAACCTCCTTGCAACGCAAAGGGAAAGGTCCCAGGGCTTTAGAATTACAAACATCAATGATCAGAAAAAGCACGAGGGAGATGATGTACCTTAGTATGGGGGAAAGCATTAACCCAAGAAAGATTGCCCATAGCACGATCAAGACGTTGTTGAATTAACTCAATACCCTCTCTAGCATTAGTCCAAGTAAAAGGATTTCCGTGAAACCCCAAATCCACCAAACCCGCATCCTCTGTAAATTCAATAAACTCTTTGCATTGTCCTTGCTTGAAATCACGACCCCCGACTTCTCCCCTTGATTAGTGACTTCATTGAAATCACCCAAAAACAACCAGGGAACTTGATCCGGAGGGATCGACTCTCTCATTTTTCTCCATAGAGCATGCCTAGCATTAGGGATAGAAGGAGCATGCATGCCCGAAATAAGGACATCAGGCTTGTCATTCCTAAAGTGGAATAACGCATGAATGGTGTGAGCTTCAGAAGTGAAAACAAGCAAATCAACACTACCCTTCCAAAAAAACCCAAATGCCACCCCTAGTACCATTAGCAGCCACAGCCTTATGATCCGAGAAGCCCAACTGAAGCATCACTTGCCTTGCACGCATTACAGGGGCTTTAGTTTCAAGAAAAATAAAAACATTAGGGTGGTACGTATCCACAATATGCCTTGCATGCATGAGGCACAAATTCATCCCTCACAGCACCTCTCACATTCCACATAATGATCTTCATGTTAAGGTTTGGTAATGGACGCTGCAAGGTAACCCGAGGCTCATCATTCGAGCCTGCATTGGGAGGGAGAAAGAAGTTCTCCCAATCCCTCCAATGTTCCATAAGATTCATCGGCCCCAAGTCCTCCAATCTTATCGGAGTTAGTAGTACATGTACTTGTTGATAACTCTTCGGTGGATTTAGATATGTTACTTGATATGTCCAATTTATATAGTGTTTTACCCCCGTCCCTTGGTCATAATTAGTAGTGCTTTTGGCTCTTTAAAGCCACTTTTATTACTAATTGGTGTTTTTCTAGTGTTTTCGTAGTATTGGTTGAGTTTTGTAGGAAATTGCACTTTTTCCCGGGTTTTCATGGAGCAACTGCGAACATTGGAGGAGCACGATCATCTTTCGTAGCCCAAGATCGGTTAGAGTCATTACTCCAATTTGAGTCCCCACTACCTTCTCCTTGGAGAAGAACAGCGCTATACGGCGATTTGGGACTCCCATGTCGAACCCGCGAGTGACGAATTGCAAAGGAGTTACTAACATTCTTTTTGGAATTGGGAATGATTCGAGAATTTCCCTTCCTCCTTTCTCATAAGAGCATCTATCAGAGTCAAAGCATTGGGAAACTCCTACCTGGCAGGAAGCTGCTGCCGCAACACCACCGGGGGTGATAATGCAGGGGACTCTAGCGGCTTCTCCAAAAGCAAGTTGAGTGTCGGAGCAGAAGGGCTCAGATTCTGACGCCTCGCATATTTCATCAGGGGGTCGAAATTGCTCCGAAATTTGGCAGACCCAAGGTCACAGGTAGTGAAGGGGGTGGCGACATTGGAGGGGAGACTGGTGGAATTGATTGAGGTGTCGAGGATGGTGGTTTCCTCCTCCTGTAAGTTAGAAGAGGAGGGGAGCAGTTTTCTAGCAAGGATCGAATCACTGATGTTGGAGGAGATGAAGTTGGATTTTTCTGATTGTTTGGATTCATTGTTGCTTACAGAAGTGGAATGAAAAGAAGAATAGAAGATGAAGAGTCAGAAGAAATAATGGAATGTGGAGTAAATGAAGTAGAAGTGGGAGAACATAGGGTTTTATCTGGATTCAAAAAAGGGGTATCAATGGACATTGCATCCACGTGCTCCAAAGTTTCTTTTGCATGGCTATTTAATGGTAAGGGCAAAAGATTTGTTTCTTGAACAAGTATATCTGCAGAGCTATGATTAGATTCATTGGAAAGGGAAAAGGACTTCCCCTTTTCACTAGATATGTCCACTTGCATATCCCCACAACTTTCTTGGTTCTTTTTTTCTTTCCAAATTAAACCTTGAGAACTTCTCTTAGGAAGAGGATTCATAGCATCATCAGAAGAGATATTTGCATTGTTATTATCAATGCTATTTTTTTTTTTTTTTTTTATGTTTAGCATTGTTATTATCAATACCATTGACATTTTTATTTTTTAAAACATTGTTATTATCAATGTTTTTTTTATCTTAGCACTGTTAATATCATTGCTAGACATCCCAACTATTTTCTTCTGCTTTCTTTTATTACAGACCACAGTCCAAGGCCCATAGCTATGATCCTCCTCTAAGATTGGGCTTGGGCTGCTTTTATCAGTAGAATCCATATCTAGCACATCAAAAGTGAAAATTTTACACTACACCCTGGTGTAGCTTTGTTACCTACACCCCCTCCCCAAGTCACGTCATTTTTGTTCTTTTTTATGTTTACTTTTTTTTTTCCCTCTTTTGTTATATATCATTGCAAGTTAATTCAATATTTTGAGTTTCAATTCCATGTAAAAATTATTGTACTCGTATAAAACAAAGAGTGTGAAGAGATTTCCATGGTATCAATTATAATAAAGCAATTGGTGATCCTTTGTTTCAAAAAACAAAAAAAAAACAATTAATAAATCACAAGAAATCAACTCAATAAGCAAATTGCAAGTCTAATCGAAGCAATTACAAACAAATTACAGTTGTTATGGCAGCGGTGGTGGCGAGATGATGGTTTTATGTGACAGCGGTGATAGTGGCGACAACGAGACAATAGTGGTCGTGTGGTAATGAGGCAACAATGATTATTGTGGCTTAATTAGTTGAGTGGGTTAGAGGGGGAAAGTGCAAAGGATTAAGAAACAGGAAAAATATAAAGAAGCTCAAATCACCATTGATAAAGCTTGCTTCTTATTTTAATGAGAATTGTATATTTTTTAAATTTTTTTATAAACAGTATACTCGTATAATTTTATAATTGAACATATAATATTTTTAAAATGAACATATTTATTTAATAGTTGTAAATGAACATACAATTATATAATTGAACGTATAATATTTCCAAAATGAACATATTTATTTAATGGTTGTAAATGAACATGCAATTATTTATAATTGAACATATAATATTTTAAAAATGAACATATTTATTTAATATTTGTAATTGAAATATTTCAAAACTGAACATATTTATTTAATAGTTGTAAATGAACATACAATTATTTATAATTGAACATTTAATTAAAGAGCATTATCATTGATGAAAAATGTATAAAATTTATAATTTTTGTACTTGTTATTGAAATTTTTTGAAGGTAGCACACACTCCTTATTGTAATTGTATGTAAGAATCATTTCCATGACAACTACAATATAGCACACACTCTTATTGAAATTCCTTATTAAATTTGTAAAATTAACTACTTCATGATATAATTGGTGCTTTAATTAGTAGTATAAATATATGTTTATCATATATCAAAATTCTAATAAATGTATCTTAATATGCAATTGATCATATAATATTATGTGATTGAACATTTATCAATTAAAAATGAACATTTAGTCATTTATCAAAGAAGTTTCCACTTCAAAATATAAAAAGAACGAACATTAATATGTGAATGATCATGTGCTAATATATAAATTAATATTAATTATATTAATAATCTATTAACATGTGAATAACATCGTACTAATATATAAATGAACATTTACCAAATTAAAAATGAACATTCATAAAAAATAGAACTTTCCACTACGAACTAAATTTACAAATCTATACTCATATGAAATAGATTAAATTATCTTGAAATTTGTGACAATTATACTCTTTTTTTAAAAAAAATTTGAGTCCAGCAATTTTATAAACTAATAACACACCACAAATTTACTTTTTTCCCCATTTTTTTTTAAAAAAAAATAAAATTATATCATCATACTTACGTTGATACATTTTCAAGCTGGATGTTTCTTTTATTTTCATGAAAACACAATTGCAACAAAAACCAATAAAAAAAACTAGGACATTATACTTGTGTTTTCATTTCAAAAATCAACAAAAACACTCACAATTTCGATTTTTGACTTTGCTTTGGTATTTTTTTCCAGCGATTGTGTAAATTTGTCTCATATATTAGACATTGTGCTTGACTATTATAGAGAATTATAACTTTTTACTGAAATTTATTAGCAAATATTGAAGATTTTGATGAGAAAGAAAATGGGGAAATAAAATGCAAAGAATGAAGAGAGAGAATTTGAATGGTGGTTCATTTTTTTTTTTTTAGTGTAGTGTATGGGGTATAGATGGTTACTGTAGCAACTTGCAAGTGGATAATATATGGGAAGTGAGGAGTTAGTGGGAGAAAGGGTAAAACGGTACCGTTTTGCATGGGGGTGTAGGTAGTAGACCCTACACTAGGGTCTAATGTTCACTAATTACATCAAAAGAATTGTGCTGACTAACAGAGTTCGTCCCACCATTGATGATGGTCACTGGACTCACCACATCTGGCTCACTAACAGAAACCCCATATTGATGATCCACCTGAATTGGCTCAGCACCATCAGCCCCATTAGATTGCCCCATATTCTGCTTTGACTCCGAAATATCCAACTCCGGCCCAACAACCTTCTTCTGCTCCACCCGAATACCAGAGCTCAAGCAATTCCTCTTCTCATGACCTACTCTGCCACAACCGAAACAGAGGCACTCCAAATTTTCGTAAATAACTTGCTGCCAAGCGCCCCCAACCCAGACCTTCGTAATCAAAGGCTGTTTGAGATCAATCTCAACACAAACACGAGCATAACGACCTCTTGTCAATCTGTCAGTAGCATAATCCACACGAATGGGCTTAGCGACTACTTTAGCTATCTCAAACAAAGCAGTTTTGTCATAATACTCCACCGGGAAAGCGGATCCAGACTGCCATTTGCTCAAAAGAGGAATGATTTGGCCTAAAATTGGGTTTCCATTTCGAAATCATTAGATAATGATCAAAGATAAACCAAGGTCCCCCAAATAAGGCAAGCTCATAGTCATCCTGTAAGGAGAATCGAAAAAGGAATTGTTTCCAAGGATCCTTTAATTCTCCACATAATTTGAGCCCTTTTTGCCATAAATCCAGGTCTGATATTAATGCCCGCTGATTTTCCCATAAGAGTTAAACTCCATGGTTCTCTCAATTTCAAGAGAGTATCCTTACTAAAGCGAACTGAAAGATTACCCTCTGGGACATTCTCCTCAGAATCTTCCCATTCCATGGCAGTCGCAACAATCTTTCTAGCTTGATCGAACCACTGCAATGAAGAGGCAACAGCTTCCCTGAAGCTCAAAACATTAACACTTCGCTGAGGTGAGGTACCTCTTGATGGAGGTAACCCCTCCTCCATGGCGAAGAAAACAAGAAACTTTAAACTAAGATTTTAAGAGAGAGAAAATCTAGAGAGAAGTCAGAAGTAGAGACCTCTCCATGAAAAAAAAGTGTGGACCATTTTCTTCTAAATATTTCAAGATTTTAAAGACTATCAAGCATTATAA